GGCAGTCTGGACCAGGACCGGCAGTCTGGACCAGGACTGCTGGTCTGGACCAGGACCGACAGTCTGGACCAGGACCGCCGGTCTGGACCAGGACCTGCAGTCTGGACCAGGACTGCTGGTCTGGACCAGGACCTGCAGTCTGGACCAGAACCGCCAGTCTGGACCAGGACCGGCAGTCTGGACCAGGACTGCTGGTCTGGACCAGGACCAGCAGTCTAGACCAGGACCGGCAGTCTGGACCAGGACCAGCAGTCTAGACCAGGACCGGCAGTCTGGACCAGGACTGTCTGACTCTGAGGGAAAGCAGGACGCACTGAAGGCGGAGGAAGAGCTTAACCTTCATCACACCTGGAATAAAAGGCGGTCTACTTTAAAATCACTAGAAGCCAAAGCAGAGACTGGAAAAGGAGCCAATCAACAGGTAGGTCATCTGTTTGAGCAGGGGCCCCTATGGGCCCCGTGATGCAGGACTCTAACAGACTGAACTGTCTGCAAATAAGATGTAAACCAGTTTAATGCGGCGCAGCAACGCTTTGATGACCTGAAGATCTGAGAGGATTCAGTTCTCTAGAGACCCAACCTTCTAGACCAGGAGGAACAAAGTGGTTCCAGAAAGACCTGCAGGTCTACTGTCCGACCAGCGGCTCCAGACTCCAGTCATCTCATGATGACTTGATGAGATGACTGGAGTCTGGAGCTACTGGCTGGTTGGAAAGAAAACCTGCACTGTCCAGAGGATGGATCTGGGCGACTGCAGGCTGCAGCCTTAGAGACGCGTCTGCTGATGAGGAGGAGAACTAAGACACCTTCTGGAACCTTCTTCAGACATTCAGAACTGCTGCTGTCAACAGTGTTTGATTCAGGCTCCATCCCGCTGCAAACAAGGGGGAAAACAAGGATGCTGCCACTAGGATTTTAAATCATAATTTTAAAACAATAAGTGCAGTAAAAACAGGAAATAAACTAAGAGTCAATTAAAAATGAACTTTAATTGAGATAAGCTGAGTGAATAACTGAGAGGAAAAGGATGAAACAAGGAGAACATTAAAAACGGCTGAAATGTTTCTATTCCTTTTAGGCTCCAACATTCTGGATCATTTTAATGATAAACTGCAAAATATGAGACTTTATTGTATCAGAAGCATCATGGTGACAGAAATGATTTTAAACCCAGTTTAGTGATTTTAAACCCAGTTTAGTGATTTTAAACCCAGTTTAGTGATTTTAAACCCAGTTAGTTTAGTCAGTTAGAAACAGCTCCTGATCATGACTTTCTGGAAACGACACGCGCACCGATGCAGCTCTATGAGCCATCACTGCTCTACGCGTAGAATCTAGGATTATAGCTCTACATGTCCTGTTTAGATAGAAAACGGCTGAGGCTCGTCCCTCCATGAGGGACACCGCTGAACTGCAGGACAGGAACTCCTCCCTATCGCTGGGGGGCAGCACCGTTAGAGGCCGGACACATGTTTAAATAAAACTGCATTTCCCGGCAGGCTGTTCGGTATCGACCTTGGATTTCATCGAGCTGCAGCATGTCGAGCAAGGAGCCGAATGTAAGTCCGCTAAATGAAGGCGACTTGAACGGTTTGGTGTTTTCTCTCTGCGGGGCTGATGCTAATGAGACCCGGCTGTTCACCGGCGGGAGGTCCGCTCCTTGAGGGAGGACCGCTTAGCCTCTGCTAGGCTAGCATTAGCCGGCTAGCTGTAGCTCCATGATAGCAGCGGTTATGTGACAGGAGAGCAGCTGATGCTAATGATGCTAACCTGGACCAGACCGCTGGGACTGGTCAGTCTGACCCAGTCTGCTGCTCCCGGTCCCAGTAGCTGGTCCGTTCCCCTGCCTGTTTGCTGCCTGTTTATTGTCTGTTTTCTGCCTGTTTTCTGCCTGTTTGCTCTGACTGTTTGCTGCCTGTTTGCTGCCTGTTTGCTGCCTGTTTGCTCTGACTGTTTGCTGCCTGTTTGCTCTGACTGTTTTCTGCCTGTTTGCTGCCTGTTTGCTCTGACTGTTTGCTGCCTGTTTGCTCGGACTGTTTTCTGACTGTTTTCTGCCTGTTTGCTCTGACTGTTTGCTGACTGTTTGCTGCCTGTTTGCTCTTCCACCAGCAGTGACACATGGATTATCCTCCCAATCCTAAACCTGGGAAAGATCCCAGAATCCCAGCTAGCAGAGGAGGCATCACACTGAGGGATTCAAACTACAAACTCCTAACTGATCAAGTCTGGTTTCCTAACAGGGATTTCAGCTCTAGATGCAGAGAAACAGGCAGAGAAGATCAGTCTGTAATAATATTAGATTGATGGACATCATTGATCTAGAACCCAGAGAGAAGATCAGGGTTCCCTTCTCTTTCTAGACCTTAGACTGAGTGGATCATCTGTTTATTCTTTCTATTCTAGAACACTTTGGATTCAGAGATTAGAGAATATGTTGGATTATGTGGAGATATCAGCAGCTGTGACCTGCTGCCCAGAGGCTCCGCCCCAAGCTTCAGGTGTTCCTCAGGGCTGCTGCGTCTCTCCACACCTGTTCATCTCAGGAATGCTACATGTCTAAATTAAACAACTTCATTTACTTTGAACAGACATGATTATCAGCCAACTAGCAGATGATGCAACAATATTCCTGAAAGATGGACACCGACTTTAATAAAGGATAATTAATGTCCCTTTAAAACTGAACTGAAATACCAGGGAGCAAAACGAAGCCAATTTCTGAATGTAGAAAATCTAATTAAAGAATGCAAGAAGAAGAATGCTGCAGAGGGATTTATCAATACTAGGATAGATCTACCTCAGATAGAATGCTTATCTAGATGCATCTACCCGGCCTGTTCCAATGCCGTCCCAATTAAACCTATTGATCAAATCAGCCGACGCTTCATTTAGAGAAACGATCTATGAAGAAAATCAGCTGCTTAAAGATGCAAAGGATGGAGGTTTGAAACGTATCGATTTTAACTGCTTTAAAACCCTAAAAATAAATGAGTTAAAATGTTGGATCAAACTCAGCAGCTACTTCTGTTTTTTATTTCAAGAATCTTTTTGAAGAAAGTTGGAGGATTGTAATTTCTTCTTTGAGCGAACTTTAATGTAAACAGATCCTCCTGTACTGGAGAATGTTCTCTAGAACAGAGGATATAATCTGCCCCGCAGCAAATCTGTGCTTCGAATATATGATCCATAGCAGATTTAATGGATACCAAGAGTTTTTATAATTATGAACAGAATTATAATTAGGAACAGTGTTTCATTAAACATTTTAAACCCTTAGCTAGACTATAATTAATTACATAGAGCACTACCACAAGAATTTATCTTTTTAACCACAAATACTTTAGCATATCATCCAATACGCCCACAATGATCCCTGTAAAGAATTACTGAGACTTTGCTTAGATGATAATCCAGAAACTGCAGACTTCTGTTCTTCTCATGATCAGTGAAGCAAACATAGATGGATTAAACACCAGCGATCTTCAGTCCCAACCTTTATCTCCAGGAACGACGTCACTTTTGCTCTAATATTGCAAACTAAGGCTGATGAGCTCTGAACTAAGCTACATTTTTCATTCATAAATTATCTCCCAAACTTGTTTTAAATGAGTTTAAGCTTTACATTAAATCATTAAAGATTCTAAAAAGTCCTAAAGCACAAATCATCTGATATCCTAAAACTTCCCAACAGAAGTAAACAGCTAAACAAAGACTGAATTCTCCCCTCCGGTTTTAATTTTATTTACATATTGTTTTTTATTTTATAATTGTTTATGGTTTTCTATTTATTTGGTTTAATGTGTTTAAATGTTTATGTGAATAACCCTTTATAGCCAGACCCCTGGATTTACTCTCTATCCTGTCTAGATTCTATGCTTCTATGTTTGTCTGTAAATCTTCATATTTTCAAAGACTGTTTTCCGTCTCCTCCTGAACTGCAGCGCTTCATCCAGCACCTGAGGGACCTGACCGGCCGCATGTCTTCATCTGGAGGCAGAGGAGCCGGACTGGGCCTGAAACTTCTGCTGGGAGCTGGAGCCCTGGCCTATGGCGTCAGAGAAGCCACCTACACAGGCAGGGTTCACCTCCACACACCATTAGCATGAGCCGTTAGCCACACAGCCTGCAACTGTTCTATTAGCATTAGCCACACAGCCCGGAGCTGTTCTATTAGCATTAGCCACACAGCCCGGAGCTGTTCTATTAGCATTAGCCACACAGCCC